CCTCTATACAACGAAAGGAGACTGCGACCACACAAAAGGCCACACCATCTTGGTCTTCATACCTGCAATCTAATAAAGGCCCATAGATGCTTCATAAAACATCAAGCTCCCTAATCTTGGAGACTTGAATCTACCTATTTTTGGTTATGTTTAGCTTGACCTACCTCGACCAAGCTGTGTGTACGAGGAGCCTACCTTATAATGTAAAGCCTATGCTATTGTAATAATGTGTTTTAAGTTGATATAAATGCAGCCATGTCTCCTTCCGGCGGAGGATAGTTGACGAGCTACGTTTATCGCCGCCAGCAACAGCAAGAATAGACATGTTAAAAACAAATCTCTATTTCTTCAAAATGAAAGGCCAATAATTTCGTCAGTGATTTTTGAATAATTCTGGCTCTATACTTCTTCCCTATCACATCATTTTCTCCGGAGCCCTCTACTCTAGCCAAACAAGATGTGCAGTCTAATCCCAGTTAGACTCATGGCATGAATCATATTATTTTGCTAGTATAGCTAGTCACGAGCCAAAATCTAGAACGAAACTATTTGCTACATTAAGGCCAAGCAGTCTTCCATATAGACGAGCCCTCAAGCAGTTATATTCTTAATCTCATTTGATATTTGATTTTTAATATTCAGTAAAATAATTTTATAGAAGTTGCTTGACCTTGCTTTCGCAACTTGATCATAATGGTGGGAATATGAGATGTATCCACCCTATTTCGTTGATGAAGGACTGGTAGTAGAATTTTCCCATAATGATATGAGTAGAGTTGACGTTTCCATTAAATTTCACATAGCCTTGTTTTCCCAAAAATTGTTCTCAACCAGGTTGGACGGCAGTTTCGACCTCGTATAGGCCGAATCAACACCCCCAGCAGGAGTCGAACCGTGACAGTGCACAATGTGAGCTTGACACGTTAACCACTCGGCCACATTGCCACGAGTGACCTTTGGTTGCATGACAAATGTGAATTTCAAGTAAGGCCAGGCTTTTTCATATATCATATTCTTTGGTGGGATTGTCGATAAGCGAATGCATTTTTGTTATAATAATCAACTACATTACTTATTTTTCGTATACGAGTAGAGTTTCGAGACTATCAGCAAATCAGTTATATGAGATGTATTCATCGTATTTCATTTAGGTTGATGATGGGCTATGGACTCGGGACAAGATGCGTTCCTCTAGGTCTTTCTCCCAATATGGCCAAGTTGTGGAAACAAGGTCAAACAACATCTATAAAACGAAAGAAAACCGCGACCTGGTCTCATATCTTCGAAAAAAGTTATTACTTGCAAACATCTAACCTTGAGCAGCTTCCCAGTCTGACGTGCAATTAGTTCTAGAAAGAGGTCTGGATTGCTCGGCCATAAGGCTTCTGGTGGGTAAGTTTTGTTGGATACGGCATTGCTTTGAGTTGTTAAAGTGTGTCCACCAATTTGTTGATCAGACACTGATAAAATTGGAGCAAACGCCGGAAGCTGATAAAGATGCTGGAGGAATTCTGCTTTCACACGAGCCATCACATCAGGAATGTAAAGCTCCGGTTGGCTAAGGTATTCCACACGAACCTAATAATAAATAAGCATAAAGAAAGTGTGAAGGAAAAAGAGCATCCACGTTTTATTTAAGAAATTGATTTTTAGACCTAGCATCATGATTTACTAGGCTCGAATCGACTGGAAAATGATGAGTTACAGTTACTGATGCTATGTATAGAATTTTCAACCAAAGTTTGCAGAAAGAAAGCCGTAACCCTCTCTTCCCTAAAATATACTTGCCTCAAATCTTCCAAAGAAAATAAGAGATAAAAATGAAGATTATGATAAAGGAAGATTTGGATAAAGTAATCGAGATTAGTTGGACAGATTGGACAATTGTTAAGCTTACCTCAATTTCGAGTGAAATTGCTGGGTGAAGAAATTCGAAGGTCGGTTCCAA